TTTAAATTAATCAAGTGTTACTCCAATAATTCTCCTAAAAGGAAACGGTTTTTTTAAAACTTGAAAAATTGAAGTCTGGGTAAACCATAATATAAGATGTACTTAAATTTTAAATAATATTTTTTACTGCAAAAGTGTGTTAAAAAAGGATATCTTGTATTTTTAACCTAAATTTCTTTAAATCTATAATCTGAACAATACTTGTTTTTGATATCCCATAGACGGATAGACTTATCTACACTACCAGAAGCTAATGTATTTCCATCAGGAGAGAAACAGACTGATAAGATTCCATTAATATCCTGTATTGACATCTTATAATTTTTTAATTTTTAATATTAAATTGTTATATCAAATTATAATTGATTTTTGCATATTTCCCAAAATTCATTCCCTTTAAAATGATATGCTATTAAGTATAAGGTAAAATCGGATGAAATTCTTGACTAATGAATGAACCCTATTTTCTACTTATCTAGCATAGCCTAAGCCCGAAGACACTCTAGAAAATATAATTATGGACTATTAGGTGTTAGCAATAGAAGATTCTAGAGTTATAATATTGATTGGTTTCTCTCCCACTTATGCATTGTTGCATTATCTAAAATAAAACAATAATAATTTTCCTACTGAGTTTAATGGAATAAATTCGATAATTTGCTTATAAACTAAGCAAAATAAAAATTAATTAGCACTTTTTAACACACAATTAAAGGCTGAGAAACCATCTTCTCTAACTTCAAAAGTTAAGAAAGTAATTAATGATTATTTTTTCTTTTGCCAATATTTGGAGCTTTTGAGTTTCTTCAAAAATTTGTAAAATTATATTTGAGTAATTAGGCTATTATTTGCAAACTTTATTATAATATTAATTTTTGTGCTTTTTTATGATCTACAATTTACTCTATTTTTTAAGCAATATTTTACTAATTTAATAATTATTGATATCAAACTTCTGTTTTAATTTCATGCTGCACTATTTATAAATTATCTTAAATGATAAATTCTGAAAGCCATTAAGAAGGTTACTCAGTAAATTTAAATTACTGTGTTTTTTTTATAAATCGGAATAACCAATTATTCTTTGCAAGTGCTATACGCTGTTTTTGGATAATTAAAGGTATATATATTAGCTTTTAGGAAAAGGATGTTGAAAGACCCTATTTTTGCTTTTTAAATTTTGCTTTCTTATTTTTTTCATTCTTACAAATATTAATTCTTTACTCAATAATATTTAATGCTTCCTATACATATATATTAGTTTCAACTTCAATTTTCATAATAAATTATGTGATATGCAATTATTGTTCTAATTTTCTCTCCTCTTCAGCCATAAGTTGAACTTTAATTAGTAAAACTGCTTTATAATTTATACTCAAATACATTAACTTTAATTAGTTATTTTTCTTTAATTAAGATTATTGTTATTTCATAAAGTAAAAATTTGAAATTTTCATATATCCAATCAAATTTAGTAACTAATTATAATTGGGGTGAAGAAAATTTTTTTTTTAATTCAAAATATTTCATTATTGTTTAAAAATATTTACAAAAAGATGAAATATTTTCTTTGGATATTCAGGAATAATTCTGAGTAGTTAAATCCTGTTGCTTTTCTAAATTTAAATTATTGTCAAGGAATATCAAGCTCATGAATGATATCCATTTCATATACAAACTTGACATCAGAATCTGTTGATTCAATTTATTATGGTCTTATACTTGAAAGATATTATTTTACCTGCCATAAACCCAGCTGAAATTATAACAGATTATTTATATTATGTAGCAACTTATAAATGATTTCGAATAGATGCTAAATCAGTGAGGTTCTAATAAAATTTAAGACCGATATCAAAAGAAGAAATTATTTATGAAATCAAAAAAAACTGAATACTATATCTTTGGGCTTTACAGATCTCAATCTATCAGAATGGCCTGGGTAATTAATATATTTAACTATTTCTAAATCATAAATAATAGGAAGCTCTAGTTTAAGTCAAGAAAATCTAGCATAAATAACTTATCATTTTAGAGCAATTCAAAAGTTAGATACATCTTAAAGGACTAGGTAAAAGTAATGAAACATAATGAATAAATAAATAAAGAAACTCATAAATAGAGAAAAAAAGCAAAAACTTATGAAAATACAAAAGCTGTTAAAGAAGTTGAANATTTATAAATTATCTTAAATGATAAATTCTGAAAGCCATTAAGAAGGTTACTCAGTAAATTTAAATTACTGTGTTTTTTTTATAAATCGGAATAACCAATTATTCTTTGCAAGTGCTATACGCTGTTTTTGGATAATTAAAGGTATATATATTAGCTTTTAGGAAAAGGATGTTGAAAGACCCTATTTTTGCTTTTTAAATTTTGCTTTCTTATTTTTTTCATTCTTACAAATATTAATTCTTTACTCAATAATATTTAATGCTTCCTATACATATATATTAGTTTCAACTTCAATTTTCATAATAAATTATGTGATATGCAATTATTGTTCTAATTTTCTCTCCTCTTCAGCCATAAGTTGAACTTTAATTAGTAAAACTGCTTTATAATTTATACTCAAATACATTAACTTTAATTAGTTATTTTTCTTTAATTAAGATTATTGTTATTTCATAAAGTAAAAATTTGAAATTTTCATATATCCAATCAAATTTAGTAACTAATTATAATTGGGGTGAAGAAAATTTTTTTTTTAATTCAAAATATTTCATTATTGTTTAAAAATATTTACAAAAAGATGAAATATTTTCTTTGGATATTCAGGAATAATTCTGAGTAGTTAAATCCTGTTGCTTTTCTAAATTTAAATTATTGTCAAGGAATATCAAGCTCATGAATGATATCCATTTCATATACAAACTTGACATCAGAATCTGTTGATTCAATTTATTATGGTCTTATACTTGAAAGATATTATTTTCCCTGCCATAAACCCAGCTGAAATTATAACAGATTATTTATATTATGTAGCAACTTATAAATGATTTCGAATAGATGCTAAATCAGTGAGGTTCTAATAAAATTTAAGACCGATATCAAAAGAAGAAATTATTTATGAAATCAAAAAAAACTGAATACTATATCTTTGGGCTTTACAGATCTCAATCTATCAGAATGGCCTGGGTAATTAATATATTTAACTATTTCTAAATCATAAATAATAGGAAGCTCTAGTTTAAGTCAAGAAAATCTAGCATAAATAACTTATCATTTTAGAGCAATTCAAAAGTTAGATACATCTTAAAGGACTAGGTAAAAGTAATGAAACATAATGAATAAATAAATAAAGAAACTCATAAATAGAGAAAAAAAGCAAAAACTTATGAAAATACAAAAGCTGTTAAAGAAGTTGAATATCTTGAATCTCTTCTAATTGAGGAACACTAAAAATAAAAATTAAATTTATATTAAGGAAAACCAAAAAATTTGAATTTAAAAATCAAATAATAACATAATCTTTACAATAATTAATCGCTGATTGTTTCGTTTTCTATAAACTATTTTGTAAATTACATTTTTATAATAAGATTTCATGGTGTAAAAATCCTTAAACTTCTCTTTCTTTTTAATAAAGAAATTTTACTTTTTTGGGTTTGGGCACATTTTGTAGCTTGATAATTTGTTTAAGCAATTGAATTGATTTTTAAATTATATTGAATATTTTCAATAAATTTAAGTTTTCCAGAATTATTATGTTGAATATATCTCCAGATTAATGAGTGAAAGATGATTTAAAGGATTATTATTTAACTTTTATATAATTCAATTCAATGCATTCAATTTATAAAGAATCTGTAATATAATTTGCTTATAATTAATGTATTTTGAGTTTAAAATTATTGAGACTATTGAAAGATCATTATTTGAAAAAATTATAACTTATACTACAAAATAGTGTAAATATGATTATTGGCATATAAGTATTTTAAAAAAATTAAAAATAAAATTATTTCATATTCCTTCTTTAAAATAATATAAAACTTTTGCAATAAAATATTTTATATAAACAATTAAATTGATTTTATTACATTTATTATTGTGTCTTCCTTTTTATTAAAGTATAAATCTTTATATGGCCAGTTAATAGTTTAAAACTTTAGTAAATTCAGTATCACAACATTATTTCATATTGTAAAACAATCTAAATTCAATTTAGCAATTGATCTTAACTTTTTGCCTTTCAAAAACTTATTATGTTAAATATATAATGAAGCATTTAATATCATTAAAGAGAGGGATGTCAGATTACTTCTAGATAAAATCAAATATATTTTCAGATATCCTCTCTCCGATTGAATTAATTTCTATCAATGATCTACCTATCCTATTTTTTTAAACCTTTTCAATAAATTACTGTATTAGAATGATTGCATGCCTTTTCTTTAGGTCCTCAATGATTTTTCCAATTATCTAGTTTACTTTTAAAATAAAAAATGTTGAATATAACCAGTTTTAAAAAAAAATTATTGTTATTCCTTTGAATTCCTTTAACCGAAAATATCAAACGATTCCTATTAAAATCATTATAATTTTAACAAAAGATAATTATTTTTTCAATCATTAAATGCGTTAGATTAGTAAATGAATATATTTTTGAATTAACTTTTCATTTTCTAGAATTAACTGAAATTTGAAAAATATTCTAAGATCTTTATTATCAAAAATAGAGATTTCACATTTTGATGTATTCTTTATAATTCTCTTTTATTTAAAAATTTTGATAATTTTTTCAATATTTCGCAATAGTTTTATATTTGATATTAACAAATAGAATGATGTGAAATGTAGTTCCAAAATCAAAAGATAATCATTTTTCCCCAACATAATTAATAATATTTTATCTTATTATATATATTTACTTATTGCTTTTTCATATTCATTCTATTTCATATATGTCACCCTCTAAAAATTAGTTTAATTATAGATGGAATAATTTATTGTTATTAATTAAAATATAAAAATTTCGTGAAAATTTATAATAAGCCTCAGCTTTAATTATGTGTAAACCATAATTATTGGTATAATTCCTCTTTTACAATTATCTCTATTACCTCCTACATTTAATAACTAAAATTCTTAAACAAATTAATTTGGAAATTGAGCTGTTATTATGCTACTTGCTTATTCACTTTCGTAAATTTTATTTTTTTCTTCATTTAAAATAGCATAAATACTAAAATTGTAATACCTGAATAAATGGTTTTTAAGATAGTCATATTCCCAAAGCAAAATTTTTCATGTTTTAAGTTAATATTTTTATGTTAGTATTAGCATAATTGATTAGCCAAAATTATTGCAATAGGTGTAACTTACCCCATTATTCGTTATAGTATACACATCTTTGAAACAAGAACCCTTATCTCCCATATTGAAAATAGCACCGTATATAATTGAGCCCGACTATTATGATAGAACATTCTTGTGATTTCCCCTCAGTATTGATATCTATTATTTTAATGATCTCGTGCAATCCTATTTTGTAGTTTAAATATAGAATAGCAGTATTATAAATTATAAGAGCAAATCCTTATCCATCTGAAAAATTTAATTATTAATTATAATAATAATAATAAAAATGAGCTAATCGCGAAAAGGGTTTAAAAATGTTTGAATTCAATAAACAACGATTAAAAATTAAATAAGATGATGAAGCCATCAGAATCATACTCATAAATTTTCTTCAAGAGATATAATGTAAAGAATTTATTAGGTTTATTAGTCAGCTATTATTAGCTTATAAAAACACAAGACCAAACAAATTATTAAAACAAAAAAGGGTTGGGGTTGATTTTTAACGAAATACATCATTTGATTCTATCAATTTGTAATTATATTATAATTTAGCTTAAATGTTAATTTATTAATAGTAATTGTTTTAACTAATATCTGAGATTGAAAAATTCAGCCATTTTCAAATTTGCTCAATTTAATTTTTGTTCTTTAAAAAGAATGAAAGAATTAGTGATAAATGGAATTTACTCATTAATTTTTAGCATAATTCATATTATAAATTGATATATTCCTACAAAAAAATTCATCTTTTTTATTATAATTAATAATTGAATTTAATTTTTACCTTCTAAAGGTGGAAGAAGAAAGACCTTGTAAATTTTGAAAGGATTTCATAAAAATGATATACATCAATATTTAATACCTTTTTCAGTCTCACTTATTCAACAATATTCATAGATAAATGACATCTGAATACTAAATTAGAAATTCTATTAGCAACAGCATTATTTTGAGTAAAATTTTTCCAATATCTGAACCTATTTAATCATTGCACCATTTTAACATTTTGTGTCTTCAAGCAACAAAAAAATTAGGATTCCTAAGTATGTCTCTTGCATTAACAATTCATTATTTTTAATAATCTGAAATTAAGTTTCCTTTATAATCTACTTGTCTTGAAAAATCATTTTTGTTAAATAGAATCAAGTCTCAACTCCTAAACTCCCTATATCATCTGCCACACTCATATTAGTAAAGGTAATTGATTAAATTGAAGCGAATAGATCTTTAACTGATATTGCCTTTTTATTAGCCGACTGTTAAAGACAATTCTCAATTCTTTTATACATTTTATCTAAACTACAAATCCATGAATTTTTGACTCTACCCAACCTAAAAAATAAATCTTTTTCAAATTCTGACTTCCAATTTCTTGAATCTTTCTCTACTTAATCTCATCCTCTTCATATTCTTTCTATATATATTTGAGTAAAAATGCAAATGACAGATTCAATATTAATTTATTAAGTAGTATTTTTTAAATATTCTTTAGTATCTTCTGGAATTTCTCTAATATGAAAATTGCGATTAAATCTTTATCATTTAATTACAATCGATTTTAATTTAAATGTTAGTGATTCTATTTAGATTATAATTTAAAGCTTAACAATATTATCTAATAGTTCGACTTGAAATTTTATAATTATATATATGTTGTGTGTTACTATAAATTCCATTATTTCCTAAGGTATCAGTCCAATTACTAAAGAATGGCAATTTCTTCCCCCTTAGTTGTACATAGGCAACTATCACCTTCCAACTCAAAGCCAAAATATAAAATATGAGATTTTACAACTTATGGTTATTAAAAATAATAATTAAACTACATTTTTATGTCCTTTAATAGGTCAAATATTATGATATGCCAATATATTTTTTCCCATCAATAGCAATCCACAAATTCTTAATATTTAAAATTTAAATAATCTTATTAAATATTCAAAATAATCAACAAATTGTTGGTGATCTAAAAATTAAGAAAGCCTGCTTTTTCAGAATGAAATTTTGATGGGGTTGATTCACTTTATATTTTAATTACATAAGAGAAAGACAAAATCAATAACGTTGATGAATAGCTTTTAAATTTGAATATAATACTAAATCAAACGCTGACTAGTAGTTTAATAATAAAAAAAATATCGATTAAATGAACAAAAATATAATGAATTCTTTTCATTTAATAGTTTGAGATAAATATAATGATTTCAATACCTTCAATTGATATTCCAATACATAACAGAACATTTGGCCTGGATCAATATTTATCAAAAGAATCATATTCAAAATTTCTTTGTGTTTAATAATTCCAATATATATTGAATTTGTCAGAAAATTTAAATCTTATTTAGTATATTTTATGTTATACTTTTGGCACATCATTTTTAATAAAGAATTCATCTATATAATTTTATTGCTTGTGTAAAGAAGTCAAATGAGGTTATCAAAGATATAGTTTAAATCCTTTAAATTCAATAATTACTAAAAAGTTGGAAAAATTATATAATTCCGAGATTATATAATATACTATAGGAGTGATTTTTATTTAAAGTTTGATTTTATTCCATTAACATATATATAGGAATATAATAAAAATATTATTGCTAAACTGAAAACACAAAAAACATAGATAATTAGTTCTATATAAAATCAATTATTATACATTCTTCAAAAGAATCCCTAATATTGTGTTATAAATTAAGGCACTTTAATGATATACTAGAAAATAAAATGGCCTTTAAGATGAGAATAACAGATGATAAAACTTTTGGAGTAAAATTGGTAGGCTTTTCTTTCCTTTCTACCTTGCATTATGAGAGACCAATAAAATAATTAACTGAAAGGAATAGTCACAGAGTGAATTTTTTGTTGTTTTTATGGTAGAAAAAACTCCAGACAAGGATGCTAAAATTAATTCTGTATATTAGAAATTCAAAGACTGTTTTAATAAAGTTATAATGACTTTATATCATTATGAGACATCTGAAGAAATTCCCAACAAAAATTTGAATTAAAGTTATGTAATTATATGTCTTAGATCATTTAAAAAAAACTACCATCGATCAAAATAAATACTGCTTAATTAACTTTGATGTTGGTACTATCTTTCACAAAACATTCTTTATAGAAAGGCAAAAACAACTTTGTTAGGCAACAAATTCTATTTAAAAACTGGAGATTTGATAAACTTAGTTTTTTTTTGTAATTAAAGAATTAGCAAGAAATATTCGAATAATGGGAGCCATAATTCATTTAAATATAAAAATTATGAACGCCTAGGTTCCTTATAAGTAAAAATAAAGAGGGATATTTATCATCCAATATTTATTGATGAATGCAATAATCAATAATCTTAGTAACAAATCTCTTAAGATAACACCTCTATAATAATCTAAAATTTGAGGACTTAATTATGATTAAAAAATATTTATTAAGAATTCATAGAATGGGTTGGTCCAATAAAATAAAAAGATAGAGTATAAGATCTGCTAAAGTTTTCCATCATTTTTTTACTAAAGCCTAAAAAATAAATATTTTTTCTGCATTTATATGGGCCTCAAATTATGAAAATTATTATGCATCTCTTATTTTTGTTTAAAGCCTATTGTTGATAAAAGCTACTCGCATACTCTTTTTTATGGAAACCGATCCTATCTCAAAGCTATATTTATTATCACTCTGGCTATTGTACTTATATGCTTTTCATGATTGTCAACTTACGCTAAGCTTAGATGGAAAAGTTTTAGTTAAAGTGTGTTTTGTTTATTCAATTTTTAGTTTGCTATGACAAACTCATTATTAATACAATTTAAGAAAATTAAGAATCTTCATTTCAACACTAAAAAACAGTTAAATAAATCTAAAAATATTCTTCTTAATTCATTACGATGTGAGCAAAAATTAGAGACTTATTGTTAGATTAATATTAAAAAGGGTAATCTGTCTTATTTATATCATGAATATATAACTTTATCTTTATCTCTTATAATAATATATCTTTAAGATTATCTTAAAAAATATAGATATTTAATTTATATTTATTGTGCCAGTTAGTGCCATTTAGTGATAGAAATCTAACAAAACTAATACAGAAAAATAAATTAAAAAAACAATTTATATTATCATAATTATATATTGATATATCATATCTTAATAAAAACATCTATTTTTTTTCTCTCTAAATTTCTTATTAATTCTGTCTATTCTATGGTTGGAAAGTTTTATGTACATTAAGATATATCTATATAAACTTCTTTTGTGTCTTCAAAGTTTAAACTTGCTAATATTTTTATCAAATTAGCTTTTTCAAATTCACACTTTTTCAAAATCATTTTCAGTGTTTTAAGAGTCTTGAATGAAAATTCTTAAAAATCTAATCTAATATTTTCAAAAGTTATATCTAAGACATCAAGTTGACTTTTTATATTTCTTTAAAATTCAAAGGTCTGAATATCTGCCTTATTATAAAGTGATAACTTGAGGTATTTCATTTCAGTAAATTTTGTTAAAAATTCATGACATTAAGATAAACCAAGATTACCAGAAACTTCAAAATAAAATTGTTCAAAATTATATCTATCTAAATGTAAAAATTCTTCTTTTATTTCTAAAATTGATTTTGAATTCTTTTTTTATCTTAATAAGGGATTAAATTTTTATACTTTTACTATTTGAAAATAAGAATAAGAAAATGCTTTTAGACTATCTTATCTCCCAACTTAAAATTACATATTTTTTATTTCTGTAGCTTCTACATATACTTGTAAAAAATGCAACTTTGATGGACAAAATTACATAATTGCATTAGTATAATGAATATGATGTGGATCTACTTCGTCTAAATAAAAATTAAGTTTTAATTAATAAATTGGACTCACTATTAGACATCTGATAAAATCATTAATTTCAGATCCCATACAAAATATTCTTTATGCTTCATCTATTTCTAATATACTGTCTATGGAAGCAAGTACTACTCTGACTTATGCAAGTATCTTTTCTCTTTTTAAATCTTTATAACTAGAAAAATCTAAGGTTTTTATATTAATTTTCAAATTGCATTTTTCTTTTATAAACCTTTCATTAGCTTTTGATAAGATTGAAAAGGATTTAGGATATTCTAGTTTCATTTAATTTGTTATTGAATTAAAATACAACATAGATTATAAAAATTATTCTACTGAAACTGTACATAAAATTAATGCTGGAATGAAAAAATCTTAAATAAAGACTTCTAATAATTATTTTATTGAGATATAACTTTCTTTTATTTACTAAGTAAAAGAAATACCAAATATTGGATAAATTTAGCCCAAGGGAAAAGCTAACAAATATATATAGAACTAAGGAAGTTTATTCAGAGCTTCCTAAACATCTGTTACCCATATAACAGCTTAATAAAATGGTTATTTTTTTATTTGCATAATATTTTTGGGATCAATTTAAACTGCCTTATATGAAAAAACTGAAATAGGAAGACTACCTTCAAATTTCGAGGCATAATTTTTGAATTTCAAGTATCCTTCAGCACTAAACTCTCTTCTGACTTAATCAGCAAATTTCTTTACAGCTAAATATAAAACAATCATTATGATATCCCAAATCTTAAAAAAGTTAAAGAATCCATATAAAAAAATATAAAATGCTTATTTTGCTATTGATACACCTCTAAATACTTTTGACTAAAACACTCCAAATGAGATTAACTATAAAATTGGGTGAACAAGGGTTAAAACTAATAATGCTTTAGAAAAATCATTTTAACCACTAATTATGTAGACGAGAGAAAAAAATTAGAATAACCCATTTGTTATTGAATAAATTGATTGAAGAGATGCTTAACATTCATTCAATTAGCTCAATTTGATATAACAATCGTAGAAAATCAATAAAAATGAAAATTTCCCAATAAATTCTTCAAACAGTGCTCTTTTTGTAATGACAGTGATTTTAGCTTATGCTTCTTAAACAATTTATTCAGGACTTTCTTATAAATTTTATTTAATAGTTTCTTAATTTTATTGTTTATCTACTTCAGGAGATCCTTTAGAGGCTTTAATTGATGGTTATTATTCTTTTGAAATTACTTTAATAAAATGTTCAGATAATTTTATGTATTCAAAGTTAACAAAATAATTATGTTAAACTGCCTACCAACCAGAATTTATTTTAGGATTTTCAATATAAAGTATTTATTAAATCTTCTCCTCTTCTTCATTTATATCTATTTAATCAGCATCCCATAAAGCATCAATAGAATCTTCGTCTTAAAATTAAAGAATTAGATTAGGAAAATCTTACTTTTAAAATATACTCTCCAAATGTCCTAAATTATGCTAATCATGATACAATAGACTTATTGTTTATACTTAAATTAATTTAAGACAATTTGCTAAATATTATAATGCGATTTCATCATAACAATCAATAAAATTGAATTAAATATTTTACATTTTTTTATATCTTGTTAAGAATGTAATGATATAAACCATACATACATTCTTTTCATAAGTACTTAATTTACTTGAGTCTATATGAAAATAAAAAGACTTAATAAATCCGATTTATTTTTAATCAGCTTTCAATAGTTGTTTAGTTTCTTTAAAGTATTTTAATTTTATTTTCTTTAATTTAAATTATAGTTCTGTTTGCATAAATCTAGAAGTTGTGGTTAACACAACAAATTATAATTCCAAGAGGTAATAGATTAAATTGACAATTAATATGATATAGCTCACAACATTGTATCCATCCCATCTCGACATTTTTGAATTGAAAAAACCTTAAATAAATAGTTAAGGTGCTGTTTAAAGGCACAAGGTAATAATCATGGATAGAACGGATAATCTGTGGAAAATCAATTCTCTAAATATATTTACAGGCTTTGTTCTCTTTTTTAAGAGTCTTAATGGATTTCTAAATTTATCTTCCCCATCTAATATCAAATATTTATTAATTTCACTAAATGAGAATTCTTTCAAGGATTAATTTCTGTTGAAATAATAAATGAATGGTGAAATCTTAAAATAACTTAAGACTCCTAAAGCAGAGTAGAAAAGATAATAGGGCAAGTTCAAAAATATATTTTTTTTAACAATTTATCTTAATTTGAATGAGTACATCCAAGATAAACTATGAGAGAAGATAGTTAATAAGATAGAAGTAATGTAGCAAGTAAAAAAAATCCCAAGATCTTAATTATGAATTGAGTAGCCTAGAGTAAAAAAGATTTCAAGAAGATTTAAGAAATAAATAAAAACTTGAAGTCCTATTTTTGCATAATATTTGTTAATATTTGGTCTTATCTTAAAATTAATTCAATTACTTTTACCTAAACTTCTTTGAACCGTGATTCTATAAACTCTAAAAATTCACTGTACAATTATTTCTCTTAGTGATGATCCCATGATAGAATAGGATCAGGCTTCTTCTTGAAACAACTTAATTTTGAAGATTAAGGATTTATTCTGTTATTTATTTATATCTTTTTTTCTTCGTTAATAAGACTTACTATGTCTGGATTTGGATGATTTGATAAAGTTACAGCCTAATTTAGAACATTAATATTTACAGCTATATGTACATCTCCTATCAAAGGTGGAATTTTAAGAGAGGTATTCTAGGTCTATGATTTTGGATGAGACTCTTATTAGGATTCTTTTTTTGCTGACTTCATGGTAAATGGCTGTTATTGAGTAGATGAAGTTGATGGCTTCTGTGAAATCTTTTACTATTGATTGATCTGTGATTTTGGATACATATATTTTATTAATTAAAATAAAAAGTAATAGATGAATAAAATCTTTTATAATTAAATTTGAAATTTAATATAGCTACTATTTTAGGTCTTATAAATATTGAGATTTGTTAATATTTTTATGACAATTAGATAATTTGTAATTAATAGATTTATGAAAATAGTACTGATCACTCTCAAATGATGCATTTTATATTTTATTGAGGTAAAGCTAGATAACAGAAATCCTTACATTGTTTTTGGCTTACTCCTCATTTCTCTAAGCGTATCAGAAATGATTTATTATCATATTTTAGAGCCTTATTAACAAAATGAATCGATTAAGAATCAAATGAGGACGGCATGCTCTTAATTCTATAAATAAATTAGATTTAAATTAACAATATATTTAATTAATGTTACATAAACATATTATATTATATATTAAACTTAATATAGAACAATCAAATATATTTTAGATTATGAAAGACTTGAAATTTTATCCCCTTTTTTTACTTTTGAAAAATATCTAAAATAAATTATAAAATATCTTCAGAATCTTCAAAATCTCTTAAAAATAGACATCGTTAACTATCAAGCTGAATTTCAAAAGTCTATATAAATATTGAGTAATCTAATACTAAATAACTTATATATTTTAAGAAATTATTCCATAGAAGCATATTATTATTCATATAACTTTTGATGGATTATAATATCTGATTGAATCCTTAAAAGGAAATCTAATATACATAAGTTTGTTCCGTTGTTTATTATTTTATGTCTAATTTTTATTAATAATCATTATTGATGATCTAATGTAGTTAAACTTTGCTTGTTATATAAAAATATATTATCTAGTTATATATTAATTTATGGAAAAAAATAGTTTCTATAAATAGTTTAAATATATTCTAAGTTAGGAAGTTAGTACAAAAATTAAAGTATTCTTTTTATTTTTGTATATTTGATCCAATAAAGATATAATCTTTTAATTATTAAGTTGAGGTATTCATTATTGATTGATATGATTAAAGATTTACGTAAATAGCTTCAAATTAATAGAGTATTACTATCATTTTGTTTAAAAGAATAGTAAACCTAAATTAAATATGAATTTCAAAATTTTTTTTTTCGAGAAATACATAAATAGAGCTAACTAAATTTTACTGATTTAATTTTTATATATCTGCTCTTATTTTTTTTATATAATACTTTTGATTAATTAATTAAGCATTGTTATAATAATTGTAATTTATAAGACAAAAGGTACTAGACAACAATTCAACTTAGTTGTGATTTAGAATCAGTCTGAGAAACAATAAATGATAAAATTTTTAAATTTGATCAATCATATGCTTATTTATTATTAAGAGCATTACTTTTTTCTCTTGATTAAGTTGAAACATAAAATTTAAATATAATTCCTTTCATTATTGATAATAGTTTATTACTTTTGTATTATTTAAATTATTATTTTGATTTGTCATTTTATTTATATAGAATTCTAATTAGTTTAAAGTATTTTAATTTAAGCACCTTTGGTTGATGTATATATCAATTCAAACCCTTAAATATTATAATTAATTAAAACATCGATTAATCTTTAAAAAAATAAAATCTTCAACTTCATGTAAATAGATCATTAATAATTGTTAAATCAATATAAATAACAGAAGAAAATAAATAAATGTAAAAGAATAAAAATTCACAGAATATGATCTTTTGAAATTTTAGATATTAATTTGATTATTATATATTCATGAATTAAGATAAAAATTAATCATTCTAAAATAATCTTATAGAATCAAAATGGTATCATATTATCTCTTCTTTTATATTGAATTTTAAACACTTTTTAACCAATTGTTCTTATAAATTGGAATTAATATGTAATTAAATTTACAATAATAATCATTTTTATAAAAATATTAACCTTTCTATTCTCAAATATACCCATTTTAATAAGTTTTATAATACAACAATCCACCAAGATTTAGTATTTTTTAAATAAAAACCTAATTATTATATATATAGACTATTAATAATAATTATATATAATTTTTAATAATAACTTTATTTTTACAATTAGCAATTTTGACTTTATAAATTAAGCAGTCTTCAATCTTAATTTTATATCAAACTGAATTTATTTTGTACTGAATCCAAAATTTAAATAGAAACATAGAAAGTTTTTTAATCAAAATAAAAATAATTGAAGGCAGTTATTAAATCTTAAATTGAGTTCTGTACCTTTAATTTATTCTAAATTTAAATTCAATATTATTATATGGAACTGTATGTTATTTGATGCATAACTAAATTTATACCATAAAAACTCTATATAAATAAATGAAACTAATTTTATGTATTACTCGAATTTTAAAAGAATCATTAGTCATTTTAAAGTTTTACATATAATATGAAAATAATTTATTACAAGATTAAAATATAGTTTAATAAATAGGAAATTCAATATGTATTTATTAATTGAAATACTTACTAACCAAAGTTATGATTTGTGACTATTTTTAATGATTAAATAAAAAAGTAATAGAAATAAGAGAACCAAAAAGAATATTTTTTCTGATTTTAGTTATATTTTATAATATAAATAATCTATGATAAATACATGTATAAATTATTAAAAATAACATAATTATTATTATAATGTTGAATAATTTATGCTTTTTGTGAACATAGTATTCTTATAGTTCAATTTTTTGCCTAAATTTCAGTTTAATAACATAGATCATTAGCAAAAAGTTAAAGACAATATTTATTAAAATTGATAAATTACTTGTATTATTCTTGATTCTCATTGAGTCATCTATGTTATAATTTCTATAAAAACAAATAGATGATAATATAATGTCAATTATAGGAGCTGAATTCAAAAACAGCTTATATATTATTAATAAGAATTTTAATTTTTTTATAAGTAGAAGACTTATGGAGATTTAATTACATTAGATTTTGGATGATTGGTTTGAATATATGGATTAGAATGTACAGAAAATATCAAATCCGAAAATATTAGAAAATTAATAGGTTTCCAATTAAGGTGAAATATTTTTCAAGAAGAGATAATCTTGATATGTAATTAATTAATTATAGTAGAAATAACCAAGAATCTTGTTGTTGATCAACCATATAATAAAGAATTGAAAGTTTTAGAAACTGTGATGACAATTATCTAAAAATAAAAATAGCTAGGTATTAACAGTGTTTAAAGCCATCTAATGATTTAGAAACATCAGATTGATTGAAATCAGCTAGAAGTTTTGATACTAATTGTATAAGAATTTAGGAATAATCATGTAATTGGATCAGATGGATAAATGGGCAAATGCATTAAATTATTACTTAATTAAGCTTACTAATTATAATAATGATTGGGGGGAATATTAATGACATGAAAAAAGTATATACAGAAGAAAAACCATATTTGAGGAACGAAAAGTCAATTAGGTTTTTTTATGAATAAATTAAGTAATACAGCAAACAATGGTGTTAACCTTTGTTATAAATACTTCAAATATGAATTTATTTAACATTTCAAGAAGGTATTTCAAATGATCAGAGAAACAATAATTAATTTGGTTTAAAATTCATAATTCAACCTATTTAGATTATGAAAAGTTGGCCAAATATAAATCTTCATGTCTTAAATTTAATATAATTTTGATTCTGAATGAATGAATTATAAAATAATAAGAATATTAGGTATTAGATTAAATAATACAAATAAAAATCCACTTTTAAGAGTGAAAATGTAGTGTATAAATTTTTCAATTTCTGCCAATATAAGAACAACAAGTAGACATAGTTTATTAGATAATTTAAATAATAACAATAATATCTAATATATTAATCTTTTAATCAAAAATAAAGAATGAAGAAAGTTATGATAGATAGAGTTAAGGAAATATTAAAAAATAATCAGCAATTAATAAGATTGTGATATTTTGAAAGTATCTATACCTTAATAGTTTTTTTAGATCCTTATTGATTAAAAATTTACTTAGAAATAAAGAGTGGAGATCAAATAATGTTTGATAATATGTTTAAGGAGTAGTTTGAATTAATTGAATGATTTGGATTCTGAATTATGAGATTATTTAATAATAAAATTAATTGAAATTCGTTAAAAAACACATATATAATAATTAATCTTTTAATTAATTTTTTTATTTGTTAAATGCTCAATCCAGACTTAATCTAAGAATTTGAAATAAATGGATACAATCTACCTAAGATTGATAAAGTATAATGTATCAATCAAATAAAATAATTGATTTAAACTCATCCTTTAGATTTTGACTTTATTATTGCCAATACGAAACTAACAACAAATTAGATGAATATATTGTAATAAAAGTCACAAATTTCATTAATCCTTGATCCTTAAAATCATTATAACATTTCCTGTCCAGTTTTTGATTTCAAAAAATTGTAGGAAATACTTCCAAATAAGAATAGAAATAAATTAAATGAAATTAAGTCTAAAGTAGAAACTCTATTAAATAGTAGTCATATAGATCCACCATAAACAATAAAGAAAAGGTATAAATTAATATTAATTAGATGGTGGACAGAAGATGAAGATCAACAACTTTAAGATTTAGTGTCTTAATATGGTGCTAAAAATTGGAAGAAAATAGCATCTTTTTTTTAAGATAGAACAGATGTATAATGTTTACATCGTTGGCAAAAAGTTCTAAATCCTGATTTAGTAAAAGGTCCTTGGACTCAAGAAGAGGATGAACTTTTAGTTACTTTAGTTGTTGGATATGGACCTAAGAATTGGAGTTAAATAGCAAAACATTTACCAGGGAGGATTGGGAAGTAATGTAGAGAAAGGTAAACTTAAATTATTAAAAAAAGATTTCATAATCATTTAGATCCAAAGATCAATAAGGAAAGATGGACTGATGAAGAAGATTAAACTATCATAGAGGCTCATAAAAAATTAGGAAATCGTTGGTCTTTGATAGCTGGATTATTAAAAGGTAGAACTGATAATTCAATCAAAAACCATTGGAATAGCACTTTAAAGAGAAGACTTAAGATGTAAAACCGATGGGAAGACTTATAGGTTTTATAGAATCAAGATGACACATAAATTAAAGGAATTCCAAGAAGACATATGTAAAGAAAGATCATTTATCAAAAAACACCAGTGAAAATGATCAAACCTGATCCTGTATCTAGATAATTGAATTTTCTAACTCCATAATAATCTCCAACAAGTAAATAGATAAATTATAATTTAATTTAGAACTGGAGTAATTTTCAAAAAGTTTATTTATTGTATTTCCAAATTACAATATAAAGTTAATGAATTTATCAAGTGTAACTCTGATCAAATAATTGGGTGAATTGGTTAATTTTGATCTTGATTTCAATAAAAAATATAGTTACGAATGAGTTATTATTCAATTAAATAAATTTCATAGCAGAATATAATCTATTTAACTAATAATGATTTAATTATTAGTTCTTATTATTATTTATTTTATTTATAATATCAATTGATTTTCTACTGTTATCAGTAATATATTTCATAATATATATGATTGTATATATGGTAAATGATTTCTTTGATCATCTGATCAAGTCACACAAGAAATAAGTAAATTTAATTAAAATGATGTAATTTAATTTAAATAAAAGAATTTATGCAAATGTGATGAATTCTCATTATGCTCTTCTTTCTTTTAATAATAGTAGACTGGTAAATACAAAAATGAGATCCTAGTTTATAGTAAGTATTTTTTGAGATATAATATTTATATAAAGAAAGAACTAATATCTCTATAAATTACTAAAGAACCTAGTTTTGTATGTGCAACTCTTAGTAGGTTAAGTAATTTTTATTTGAAATTGAACACAACAATTTAATCAGTACTCTGATGTTAAGGTAATATTAAAATTTCTTCCAAGTTATTCAGATTATCAACAGTAAAGTTAATTCAAAATATTTAATGTATTAAATTGATGGCACATTATCTAGAAGTTTTAGATTTCAAAATTTGAAATAAAGAATAAAAATTAAATAAAAAACATTTTCAAAATCTAGGATAATATAGAATAATAAATAATATAATGATTGAAAAAATTGCTATAGCTTTGTGTATCACAATAGTCACATCCATAACACTAAATCTTAATGAGATCTGTCAATGTTCTCAACTCATTCAAGAATATGATTGTATTAACTCTTCTATGGAATGCAGTTGGAATTTCTAATCTAAAGAATGTTAAGATATTCCTTGTTCAGAAATATTATTTTCCAGCTTTTGCATATAATAATCATAGAGATGTTATTGGGCTAATGGTCAATGTCAAAACTTTACCAATTGCTAGAGCCTTTTAGGATCAACTTAATCTATTTGTATTAATTAAAACATTTATTGTCCTGCTTCAAATGGCACCAATTGTTAATCTGTAGATTATCTCTAAACTTGTGCATCTATTACTACATCTAATAATTGTAACTATTATTTTTCTGCTGCAGGAGTATGTATGTGGAATGGGCAAAGTTGTGTTTAAGCTACGTCTTGTTCTTAATTTTAGGGTAATTCTACTACATCTTGTAATTTTAGTGGATGTTAATTGAATTACTAAACAAAACAATGTCAACCAAAACTCTGCTCTCAATTAAATGGTGAAATTTAGTGCTCATAAGGAATATTAACATTTGGACCTTATTTAAACAATATTATTGGATGTTATTGGAATTATGAATCATATACATGTGAAGAATTTTATCCATCATAAATGAATTATATGAATTGTTATGGTTCTAGTGCAGGAACCTATCATTGGAATAGTAAAAAAGAAAAAAAGGGAGACTGTGTTTCTTGCTATTAATAATTTTTGATTCTATCGATTATTATAACAATGTTATTTTGAATAATATTATAATGTTAACAAAGTAATGAAATATAAGAATAGATAATGATTATCTTTTTTAAATTATTAATAATTCTGATAATTCAAATTTCAAATACATTATAATAAAATAATTATCTATTAAATTAATATTCTATTCCTGTTAATTTCGGATTCAAAATACTTTTTAATTTTTTATGCAAATCCTATTGAAATCCAATTATATATATATTTTAGAATTACTTAGTAAATAATTTAATTATAGAATTGAAAAGATATATCTTTATATTTAGACTGATTATTTAACATTATTTTCAGTTGATTTAATTACTTTCTGATTATTAATAGTTAAGTAATTATAGATAATTGATAATTTTTCATAACTCATTCCAATAAAGTTTGAATTAAACTTTATTTGGTTGAAAATATTATTAAATACAAGCCCCTTTAAAGAGTATTATTTATTGAGAAGAAAAAAAAATACTCTATATTTATTTTTTAGATTTTTAATATGGATTAAGAATTACAATAAATTTTGATTATTTAATATGAATTATTGAGTTATATTTAATATTAATATTATAGAATTTTATGTCAAATCCATACTAATAATCAAACACTCAGTATCCTTAATAAAATTAACCATAATACCCCTAATAATATCCATAATAGTACTCTTAGTAATATTCCTAACAATAGTAACCATATCCTTAATAATAATAACAATAATACCCACCATAATAATAATATTATCAACCCTAATAGCCAAATTACTCATATCAACAAGTTTAACCAACAATCCAAAAAGAAACTTATTATCAATAGACACAACCTCAAAATAATGTTAGCTCTCCTGTAGATGATTAATGTAATTAATAATTTTAAATTTAGAAAAAAATCCATTGTATGAATATGACCTTGGAGAATCATTTTTAGGAAATGTTGGATTTGATTAGAGAAAGAAATTTATTGTTAAGGTTTATAGTTTATTAACAATTCAATTATTAGTTACATTTGTTATGGTAGCTATAGCATGTTTCTCATAAGGATTTAGAGATCTATTAATTAATCCATCTAGTTATAATGCAACACCATTTTATTGGAGTATGTTTGCTGTATCATTTATAACAGAAATAGCTATTTTTTGTTGTAAAAAAGTAGCAAGAAAAGTACACAATATATAATATAAACAAAAAGGTTCCAAATAATTATATAGCTTTAACAATATTTACAATTAGTTTTTCATTTGTTGTAGCTGGTTCATGTGCAGTTTGTGAGGATGCTTTTTCAAATGGTGGTACTTTGATTTTGATTGCTGCTCTTATGACATTTGCAGTAACTGCTTCATTAACAGTGTATGCATGTAGAACAAAAACAGATTTCACTATGGCAGGTATTAAATATTAATTATATTAATGATTAGGTGGTGCATTATTCATTATGTCTGCTATAATGTTTATCCTATTTATCTTTGCCATTTTCTATTTTAATATCATTTTATGGCTCTTATTATGTTCATTATCAGTGGTCCTTTATGGTTTCTACTTAATTTATGATACTCAATTAATTATTGGGGGAAAGGTAACATTATTATAATTTAATTTAGTCTCATCAATTAAGTATTGATGATTACGTGATTGCAACCATGTTCATTTATATTGATATCATAATATTGTTCTTGAGAATATTACAAATTCTAATGATATTATTTGGAAAGAAATGAATTATCAATCAATACATCATTATTATTATTATTTTGTAATCTTCTCTCTTTCTCTTTAATAATTATATATATATATATATATTGTAAGTGATTTATTCTATAATTTATATATATTATAAAATTTATTATGTATATATATTAGTTTCTATCTTAATAATTAAATAATTTATTTATAAAATTCCTTTTTTCTTTTTATGATATTCACTTAAATTATCATTTAATTATAATTATAATAATTATGGATAATTAAAATTTTCTGTATTTATCATTAGGTGCTTATATTGGAGTAAGTTTTAGATTAGAAATTGTATCGATTGTCAGCAACTTTCTTACTGATTAATCTATACCTATAGATTTAATTGATAATTTCATTGGATCATTTGTTATTGGATTTTATAATGATAGATATAAAAATAAAGATTTCAGTTCTCATTTAGCTATCAGCACAGGATTTTGTGGATGTTTAACTACTTTTTCATCTTGGATTATTGGAATCATTAATTTAGCTAATTAGGAATTATGGTTTAATAGTATGATTAATCTATTTATTGGAACAACAATTTCATATTCTGGATTCAAACTTGGTTAGAATGCTGAAACTGAATTCAAATTTCCATTTCATTCAAAATTAATATATTTAGCATTTCTTAAATTGATAATAGTTTAAGTATTATTTAAAAGATGGACTATGATAGTAACAGCATTATTATCACCTTTTGGAGCAATTCTTAGATATTATATAAGTAAATTGAATCATAAAGATTTTCCATTTGGTACTTTAATATGCAATTTAATTGCTGTTTGGATAGCTGAAGTACTCTTGATGTCTAAAATCAATTTTGATGATAATAATAATACGATTATAAATACTGTCTTAAAAGGATTTTGTGGTAGTCTATCAACAGTTTCTACATGGATTAAAGAAATTTGCACAATATAATCAATTGAAATACGATTTTGTTATTATTGGATTTCTATATTTTTGAGTGTTTATATTAGTTTAATTATATCTTAATATTTATATTGAATATACATTATATTCTGTCATTATTAGTATAGATAAGATTATTATTATTTTAACATAATTTAGATTATCATATTATTCTATTTTCTATTAAAATATTAATTATTTAATAGTCTTAAATTAAACAAAATTTTGAAGTAATTTCTCTGAGAAAATATATTGATAATAACATTTAACCTATACCTATTATTTGTTGGATCAATTTTAGGGTTGATTTAAAAATATAAAATTTATTATATAAATAATTATAATAATAAGTCTTCTTAAATTTCATTAGGCTAGTCAATTTAATTAATGAATGATCAATTCGATTATATAGAAGCTTATCACGCAGAACTTGAATATCATTAAATCATTTGTTTATATCCATTAATTAAAGAATATTACAAAGTTCATTACGATTTAACATGTGCAATAGCAAATATCATCAATTAAAATAGTGATATGTGTATATTTAAAATTTACAAAGAAACAAATAAAAACATATAGTAATAATAACAAAACTAATAAAAATAACAATAATAATAATAATAAGAAATAAATGATAAAGATGATGATACAAAATGGTTTCTCTATCCAAAAGGGGAAACTAAATAAGAATAACCTATAAACAAATTCAATTTATTATAAAGTAATATGTAAAATTTCAAAGAACAACTTTTTATACAATTTTCGATCTGTGATATTAATTTAAAAAATTAATATCTATATAAATGTCGAAAGATAATTGATTTTATTGAAACAATATAAAAGGATATAATGATGAATAATTTTGACACTTAATATTTAGAAGAAGACATTCAAAGGTTTTGTGAAAATGATTTATAATAATGATGAATTTATATATTATTATATGTAAAAATAAATATGCTATTTCAATACACCTTCAACTTAATGCACTGCAAGATCTCCAGAAAAAGACTATACAACATACTCTTTTTAAAAAGTGCTTTATTAATCTTAATTTTTAGTAGAACAATGATTACAACTACAATAAATTTAGTGATTCTAAAGGATAGATATAATAAATTATACCTCATGTATAAAAATAATAAACGGATTATCTAATTCCTTATTAAAACATTACTCCTTAAGATCAAAATCATTATTATACTAATGATTCCTTATCAAATATTCATGATAATATAAAGTTAATCACATAATAATTTGAAGAGAAATCTAATGAATTGAAAATAGAATAATAAAAGCGTCTTGATATTGAGATTAAGTTTGCATAATTACAATAAAACAATTAATTGTATATGAAATATCAATTAATGTAGATTAGAAGAAGAATTGAGTAAATAGAAATAATTATGTAAACAAATGGAAAATTTCAATAAGGAATTGGATAACAAATTCTAAATTCAATTTAACACTACTTAGAGCAACTCCTCATAATAGGATGAAAATATATTCAATATAATTAAGTAAAAAGAATAAGAAATATAAGAATTAAAATAATTATTAGCAAATGAAAAAGATCAAGAATCAATTAAATAAGATAGATTAATGAAAGAATTTTAAATTATATTTTAAAAACAAAAAACATTAAATCAATAAATGTTATTAGAAAATATTTAATTATAAAAAGCACTTAATAATTAAACAATATCTTCAAAATCTTAATCCAAATTATTAGATGAATAATAACTTAGATAAATATTATAAAATTATTACACTATTAATAATGAAGAATGTTTATAATAAATACCTGTTGATTAATATCTATCAGCAATTAAAATACTAAAAGAAATTACTTTATCAGAAAACTCTAATTAGAAACAGTAAATCCATCCATAAAAATAGAATAAGATTATAAATCAATCACATTTACAAGAATTAAAAGATAAATAAGAATAATTAATAGAAGAGATTAAAAAGTAAATGGAAATATTTATTTAATAAAAAGTAAATTATTTATCATTTATAAGAATACATAACAAAAGGACATAATTTAATTTAAAAATGAAACTGATGAATTACAAAGATAATTGGATTAAGTAGAGAATTTGATATAAGAGATGGAATAGAATCCAAAATAACAACTTCTTAGAAATAGTAATGTTTCTTTTGAGAATTATAATTTTGAATGAATATATTAAACATAATTTTAATATTTTATAAGATCATTAATTACATTTTACAAACATATTTTTAATAGCATTTTCTCATAAAATTAAATTAACATTAATAACATTAATTTCCACAATATGGAATTTATAAATAATAAATTATATATTAGACCAAATTTGAACATAAGAATTTTCGAAATTAAATTTGTCATTAAACAATTATTAATTATGCATTCAATATAAATTATCTTGATAATTAGTACAGCCTCCCTCATTAAATCAACCACTTTGGATTTAAACAATAGATGCAAATGTTCAGAATTGATTTATTCTTCTGATTGTTACAATGGCTTTTCTGATTGTTCTTGGAATACTCATCAAAATTAATGTGTTGACGTGGCCTGTTCTGATATCGAATGGTCAAATCATTGTATTTGGTCATCAAATAGATGTTATTGGCTCAATAAGTAATGCCATGATTTTACATCCTGTGAAGCCATTCCAGGAAAAGACCAATCTGAATGCATTGCAGCCAATGTCTACTGTCCTGCTTCAAATGGAATTAATTGTTTATCCATGTAATATCAATAAAAGTGTTCAGATATAAAGGATCCAGATACTTGTAATGATTATTACTCTCCACAAGGTAAGTGTATGTGGAAAGACTAAAATTGTATCATACTTTAATCATGTAATGAATTGTGGACGAATAAAACTAAATCTTGTTTGTTAAACGCTTGCTATTTTGATGCTCAATCTTTCATGTGCAAAGATATGACATGTTCATATTATACTATGGAATCTTAATGCCAATTTGGAGCTCCAACACCAGGTCCATATTTAAATAATTTGATTCCATGTGAATGGAATACATAAACTGGATAGTGCTAAGAAGCAAATCCTGTTGATTTGAATGCTAATAACTGTTATAGTAATAGTGCTATGACATATCACTGGAGTAGTAGCAAGTCTAGTAAAGGAGGTTGTGTATCATGTAAAAGTTCCATATTATCTATTTTCATTGGATTAATGATGATGATTATTATGATTATGTGATAAAATACAATTATTTAACAGAATCTAAAATTCATTAATGAAGATTCTTTTAGAAAATATTAAAATCAATTAATTTATCTTAATATGATTCTAATTTAATTGATTAATGATGAATGAAAATTGCATTACAAAAATATCATAAATTTTAAAGATCAGTTGGTTTTATTCTATGAAAGTATTATAATTCTGAGCATTATTATAATATTTTTAAATATAATATGTTAAACGAATTAATCCAGCTATTTTGCAGTAATGGTACTCATTCTAGTGAGTTGCTTTATAATGCTACCTTACAATTGAATGAGTTCTTGGATAAGAAAGATGTAGTGAGATGCTTTCCAAGAGTGTCAGAGAATCTTGGAGATCAATTGGTATAAGATATTGATGGATAATTAATAGCCAAATTTGAGGAAGGCATCCCATTAGCTTTTCCAGGCATATATTCGTGTTAATGAGAGTTTTGATGCTGTCCTTTCAGCAATGCTTAGTAGAGGCCTTGTTCATCCGAATGTAAGATTATTTTAGTTATATAATATAAGTTTTTAGTAAGATAGAAGAATGTAAATTCATTACAATCGTTGTTTTTATCAGAAGGATAGCATTTAGAGGCTGGAAGTGGGATGGTTAAGAATATGATTGAGATGTTGTTAGGGAAGTTGTGTGATTGTAACATAGCAGTTTGTAAGGCTACAGAATAGGTATGAATGTATTAATATTGATTAGACTTTGATAACATTAATAAGTTTGAATTAATATAAGTAATGTCATGCATAATTGCCTATGGGAATTCAATCTCAAGTGGAGCATTTTGTAGAGTAAATGAAAGAGACCAATTAAATAAGACAAGAGTTGAGATTGAGAGAGCCAATATCTAATGGATTGCCATTTGACAAGTTGGAAGACTTGAAAGATACTTAGTGGTAGATGAGAGCTGAAGCAATATAAAGAATATATGAAGAACTATAAGATGTGGTCTTGACTCCATTATAAGTAGAGGTCTTGTTTGAGCACATAGTAAATTTAGTGAATGATCATAACTTTAATATAGTGTTAACTACTTTATAGATTATGTAAAGATGTTTGTAGTTTAACATTGTAAAGAGTAGCAACATAGTTAATATATACACTAAGTTAGGGGATTCAAAATCAGCTATTAGAACTGCTGTTAGATAAGTGTTGGTCATGTATTTGTAGAAAATTGGAGATGGAGAATTATTGGTTTAAATCTTGTAGTGTCCAAACAAGAATACTTTTTACAAAGAAGAATCCTTAGATCTACTCATTGATCTAGTCTAAAGAAATAAGATGCTGGTAACCTGATTCCTCAATATGCAGCTTTCACAATACCTAGAGTTGGCCATCAAAGAAGTGGCTCCTTTCCTTGAAGACCAGAAATAGAAACTCCGCTCTAAAACAATTGAAACCCTAACTCAGTTGGCCACAATCAATCAGCCCTTGACTAAGCGAGTGTTTTAATAACTTGGTATTACTGAAGATCTCTTTAATCAAATCGATGTTAGTACAGCATCTTCAAACAAATCTGATCTTCCACAATTTCGATTCAAAAAAGAACAAAGAGATCCAAAGGAATAATATGCATAATCTTTTCCTGAACCAAAACATCAGTAATAATTTGATATACCCATTTTTCAATCATAATAACAAGGATATGTACCTACTATTATTTCCCAACCTTAAAAATAATAAAGAAGTGCTTAAAAAGCTGAATCTCATCCTCAATCTTCCAGTATTGAATTCAGATAAGCTCAATAAGAATAGGAATATAGTTAACCACCAGCTACTCAATAAAGTAAACCATTTAGAATAGTTAAAAATCCTTAATAAGACATTCCAGATCAAGATACTGGTCTTACTTATACTAAACCTTTCTAAAGAAAACCAAAGGCTGAAGCTGATAAAACATTCCAACCAATTTATTTGGATTCAGTTTAGCCTTTAGATTAACCAGAATCAGTTTTAAAAACCTTATTGAATGAATTAAGATATGATGATTGGAATAGATAATTTGAAGCTCTAAACAATCTTAGAAGATTGGCTAAACATAATACTGAATTACTCAGAAAATCAAACAATTTTCCATAAATTTTATAAGAAATGGTGAAATAAATTGAAAATTTAAGGAGTGGTGTTTCTAAAAATGCTTTGATTTCTCTATAAGAACTTAGTGATATCTATAAAAAAGACTTAGATTGTGTAATGGATTAAGCATTATAAAAGTTAATCAAAAAAGCAATTGATCTCAATACATTTATAAGTGAAGAGGTTAGAAAATCAACAATCTCTTTATTGTAAAATTGTAGTGAATAAAAATCTATCTCTCTTATCACTTAAGTTTATTAGAGTAAATCAATAGCTATTAAAGTGAACATATGTTATGCATTAAATAATTTATTAGATCCAAATAAATAACATTTTGAAAAAATGCTTTAAATTCTTTGTCTATATGCTTGTGATCAAGGTTAAGAAGTAAGATAAGTAGCTAAAGAAGGATTACTTAGTTTAATAAATTAAATGGATAAAAGAGAATTAGAATCATTAATCATAAAATTGGCACCTGATGGAGAATGTAAACGTATTATGACTATCATAAATGGTGAATCTACAACAACTTCTGAATTTAGAAAGTTTGGTGCTACTTAAACTAAAGAAGCTAGAACACCAGAATTAAGAAATAGAACTCCAAATACTAAGAAGTTATCAGCAGATTTTGAATAAATGCCAAATTATATGAATTAAGCAGAATTAGGAAAGGATTGGAAATAAAAAAAAGAAGCTATTGATTGGCTTTGTAATTTTGCAAAAAAAGAAGCATAAGCTTTGAATGGTCATAAATACTCCAATAAATTTTTGGATCTCTTATGCAAATTAATAGATGATGGTAATAAGAATATTGCTTTGTATACATGTGAATAGTTCATTCAATTAGTTGAACCACTTAAAGTATTTTATTACTATAATATAGCTTCCAATCTAAAATAATTATGTTAACATATGGAATGGGGTCTTTAAAGTTGTCTCATCGACGAATAATTAAGTAAGACAATCGGCTGAATCACTATTTCATGAACTTATGATACATATTGACATTCAATATTCATTACCTTAAATCTAACATCTCATATTGTATGGTCCAGCCAAATCTAAAGGCATAGCCATAACAATGTTAGCAAGTACTTATTATTAATAATATAATAAGATTTTGTATAATAATTTTATGATGAGCGACCGTAATTAGTAGTGAAGTATCTTGTACCTTTGGCTAAGAAATTGTAAGAAGAATAGAAACCAGATATTAAAATAGCATCATAGAAACTATTTTAAGCATTGGTTTCTACATGTCCAAACGATGTTGCTCATTTGAAGTTATTAAAATGAATATTATTATTTATTATATTTTTAATTAAATTTACTCATCATATTTGTTCAATGTTTAATTAATTTTCAATAGTTTCTAAATAAATCTTTTAATTAAATTTTTATTTAATCCCAAACGTCTTATTCCCTAAATTAATAAAGAACTCTGGCCATCCATTCATAAATTTAATTAATTCATCTTCTATATATTAAATCCTCATTATAGCATCTAATTTGAATTACTCTTGATTTTCCTTACTCATAAATATATTCAATAATTCTCTTTGAAAATAATAATCCAATCTTTCTACCAATATTTTAGCCTCTTAAAAAATTTCATGTTCTTCTTTATCCTTTTATCCACTCTCTATTAATGTTTACAATACTTGAATCATAGCTGGTTCATTATCCAAGAAATATTCCTCTGTCAAATATCTTATATGAGTATGACAAGATAATTAAATAAATCCTTTAGATACTAAACTAGAAGAATCCATATAAATAACTCTAAAAGATTATACTATACAATCATATTTGATGATATCTCTATATTTCCTCTCTTCTGTATATTGTCTTGGTTATATTTCAATAACATTTCCTAATGCAATACCCAAACATTAATCTTCAGCTTCTTTATTGTCATTTTTTGTAACCTCCACAAACATAGGATCATTAGATCTATAATCACATCCACCAGTGTTGTAATATTTATTCTATTTTTTCACAGTCTCATAGATCTTTACAATTATTTCTCCTGGACCTCCAGTATAATTACGTAAATCATTTTAAGCTAAATCCCAAGGTGGTCTATAAAGATTCCTTTTAAAAATATTAGTAGAATTAGGATCTGCTTTAGGTTTTGCAAATTTAAAACAATTAATATTTCCATCAGAATTAGGGAAACCTTGTATTCTGCATTTCCCTTTGAAAGTTTTTCTTCCAGGCAAAGTATAACCATCCACAATAATTTTAATACCCATAACTTCATTTTTATCATTATGTTCTATTAACATATTGAAATGTTGATCAGCTTATCCAACAATACATATACCTTCAGGAGTCATAATATGTTAATATTCAAATTATTTTCCTTTGACTTTTCTATATGGATCAAAAAATCTAAGTTGAAATTGCTAATCATTTGAATGTACCATTAAAATTTTATATTGATTATGTTTGCCAAAAAAAGATTTAGATATATTTGTAAATAATCAATGTTATATTTTGCTATTTTAATATGTTTACTTTTATTAATTTAAAAGAGTGTTAATTAAATTGTGTTTTAACAAAAAATGTAGATGTAAATGATTGCAATGATGAAATATAATTATATTATATTAATTTTCATATATATATTGAGAAACGGATAATGAAATCATTTATCTTATTAGGATTATTGTCCCTCACTTTTGCAGTGAGTATTAGTAGTCAAGGCACTTTAACAAATCCAACATCAAGAGTTGAAAGAATAATGACTAAATTTATGCAATTAAGTGAGATGAGTACACAATTTAACTTTAATAAACTTTTCGATGCAATTGATTAATTGAGTGCTTAATTAAAAGTACTTTAGTATAAATTATACTGATAGTAATCAGAAGTAGACGAGAACAATTTATTTGATGCTGATTTTGCTTAATATGTTGAGGATTAAGCATTTTATACAGATTTGGTTACTTTCTATACAGCTGAAGTAGCTTAACACACAGAGGATCTAAGATCTTTGAATAACCATTTAGACTCATATCAATAATAATTGACATAAAGATAAGAGGAATTAGATAGAACTCAAAAATAAAAAGCATAATTAGAAGAGACCATTAGATAAAATGAAATTACTTATAATAAATAAATTAGTGATTTCAATACAGCAATAGATGTTTTAGATTAAGCTATTTAATTATTGTCTGGTTTGAGAAGTAACTTAATAATAATATGAGTAGATCCTGTTTTAATCTAAACTGAATCAGATTAACTTAAGACATTAGCTAATAAATTAAATTCAATCAATTTGAAGAATCATAGAGTATTATATTAACCAATAATTGATATCTTTATGTAAATTGCATAAAATAAGTATCAATAATAAATCATAATTAGTTTGGCTAATTAAGATCTACTCAAAAAAGTGCTTAGTATGTTGAATGGACTTAGAAACTCATTAGATGGAGGAAGAAATGCATTAACTAGCAATTACAATAGTGAAAGAGCATCTAATTTAGAATTATTAGAGACTTACAATAAAAAAATTGATGCTCTTGTTAATGAAGTGATTCCAATGTTGTAAGATTTGATTGCTAATACAATTGGTATTTATTTATTTGATTACTTTTTTTTATAGAATAAATTAAGGTGAAGACTGAATTATTGAATAATGCCTAAGCCAATTTGGATGAAGCAAAAGAAACTTTATAATATATTGAAGATAGATGGGTTAAAAGAAAGGCTTAACATGCAGCATTGTTAGCAGAATATGAAAAAGAATAAGCACTTATAGCTTAAACTATAACTGTTTTGCAAAGAGGTGGTGTAAGAAGATAATGATTTAAATTTTATTTTATTTCACATCGGAGGCATACTCATTCCTGCAGGCATCATAGTTTATTACCCAGGTAAACCCATTCCCTTAGGTTATGAAATCAAACCAATATTTGGTGCTCCTGTCACTCCTTATCTTGTTATTGGTTAGGCTTTTCCTGGTCCTGGTTATAATTCTTATTTCTTTGGAGGTTAATGAGGAGGGGCTTCAGCTGATAATGATATTATATTATCGCCTCTTACGATGATCATTCCCAAAGTTCTTTTGGTTTCGATTTCATGGATTCCTACCTTACAAATAACTTCTACCTTGCTTTCTTATTCTGTATTCTTCGCATTCACTCAGAATCACATTCAAATGTTTGTCAAAAGCTAAAAAGGTTCCAACCAACATACGTCCATCACCTAAAGTAATACGAACTCTGTAATCAATCCATTAAAAAAATTTGCTTTTCTAAGACATATTTTAATATATTTTTTAATATATTTATATTAGATAATATATATAAAATACACTTTAATTAAACATAAATCACCGCTTAAAACAAAAATTTCTAATCTCTTGAAATGCATATCTGTCTGGTTCTTAAAACATTTATTATACTGTTTATTAGGCTGTTTTCTTAACATTAGGAGTAGATTAATTTTAAGAATTCTCCTTTTAAATAACAGTCTATATTCCAATTGAATTCATTTATTTTGGCTTTGGAATCTAACTAATCAGAAACATTAATCCTGCATTAATCTACTCCAACATCTCCTAATCTTTCTCTCTTTAATTTAATAAATAATCCATCTTCTATTTTAATTCAGTCTAAAAAATTTATGAATTCACTTACTATTTCATTATTGTCTTAAGATTAAATTTATTAAGACTTCTATTAAGATTCCTTAACAGGTTTATCAGTTCTCACAATAAAATCACTTAAATTCTCTGATATACTAGAGTGCTTTGACTATTCTCTTTATAAACTAAATTCATTAGAATTGCCAAAATTGTTTAACTAAGGTTTTTCTTTTTAAGTTTCTCTAAACTCATTCCAATTATCTGATTCACTAGTTCTATTGGTTTTCATTAAACCATTATTTGTTCTATTTGTCTTTACTAACCTTATATTCATTACAAATTACTTTTCTATTGCAAGGCAGAAATCAAATTAATGATCTAATCTTCATTATAATTATCTTATTCTTCATCAGAACTCATTTGTTTGTCGTTAAAAATATAAATTAAATTATAAATAATAATTATTATATGCTATTTATAAATTTTCATTTCTCCTCATAAATATCCCTTCATTTTCTTATTTATACTTTATCTAATTCATTTTGTGTTGTCTAATTTAATTATACTTAATTCTAGATAAGAAATTGATATAATATGATTTATATACATTTATAAAAATATAAAAATAATTGTAAAGAATCTAATTTCAATTTATTTGATTAATTTTATTAAATGATATATTGATTCATAATATATTTTCAATTATTTTTCCATATTATCATCTACATTTTATCTTTTATTTACAACATAATCTAATAAAAATACAAATGAAATTAGTTAATAAGATGATAAGTTGTAAAGAAACTAAATTTATATCTTTTTCAGTTGAAAAATTAATTTCAATAACAATTTATGATACATTGTTACTCAACTTTAAATAAGCAGTTTTAGTACATTATTATAAGCATTAAAGTCTTAATTTGTCTATTGTAAGTAAATGAACTTAATGATAAGATTCCTTGATTCTTTCAACTACTACAAAATGTGTTGTATTGTATCTTTCAATAGCAGTATAATTATTATCCTTCAACTTTTAAATGCTATCAATATTTTTAGTTTTTGATAATATACTAATATCAAATAAATTAATAAATATATTTTAATCAAGTTCAAATGCTAAAATTATATGATTGTTATCAATAAAGAGTGATTATTTAAATAATACATCTTATTCATATCGTATTATTCCTTATTATTCAAATTCAATCTAATCTAAATTATTTAGATCTAATATCATTCTCATTAAATAAGCTAAATGATATTTAAGAAAAAATATAAACTTGATTTCAATTTAATTGTTATTCTTGATGGTCTAATAGATCTAAATTACAATAAAGTCAACTGAATGAAATGATGGTGAGATATTAGGAAATAAGTTATTTAATTGGTAACTTTTATTGAAAAATATATTAGCAGAATATACATCATCTTCTATTTTGGTAAAATTTATAAATATCAATTCAAACTCCATTTATTTTATGTTGAAAATTAAGTAAGTAAAATTATTAATTTTGATGCCATCAAACAAGTCAAATTAAACAAATTGGAAAGTATTGATAAGGTTTTTATCAAAAATTGGCTTATTTTAAAACATAAAAAAGTACAAATCTTTGAAATAACTAAATATCTATAAATCATAGATTTGTTTAAAATTTATGAATTCTAAAATAAATTGAAATATTACAGTCAGTTTTATTTAAGATTTTGTAGTTCTAGAGTAAAATTTAATTTTCATCACAAAAATTATATTGACTAACTATTAGTGCACCATTTTCTTATGTATAAATTGCATGATTAGAATCATCTGGATTATATCCAATATAATAAACATTAGACTTAATATCTTAAGAATATAATATAGATGTGCTTTATCCAAAAATATTTCTTATTATTTATGATCTATTTACACAAATACCATATCTGTAATACTCACATATCACAGAATAATTGTTAAATATAAGTGGTAAATTAACTTAAATATTATTTGTTCCAACAATCTCAACAGCCTCAATATTTCCAAAGATATTCTCAATGTTAATAATATTCCCATTCAATATACTTTAATTCAAATTTAATTATTATAATCGATAATTTTTATTAATATTAATAAGATGGAATTCTAAATCCATACTTTAGTTGCTTATTTAAGAGTAAGTAGTCATTTTAAGTGATTTATCCTATATAAAATCAAAACTGTCTTAAGATAAATTGAGCTAAAAACATGGTTAATCCAATTTTTTTATGTAAAATTATTCTTGAAATTAAAAGTAATATTCATTTTCATTAGCAAAATCAAATTGATATCTTTCCTCTTCATCAATTTCAGTAATTGAAATTAAGGATTCAACTGCTGTTTATAAAATATCATATATCAATATATAGAAACTGTTATTTAAACTTCGAGCTTTTATCATTACAATTGACTTCTAAATTCTATATTAAAATGGGAATAAGATAGAATAATTGTATGTAGGAAGAGTGTAAAGTATAAATAATTCTTCTTAATAAACTCGATATAATTTAACATATTATTAATTATGATAACAAGTGAATAATAAAAGATAATCAGCAAATACATTTCTTACTTCAATAACCTACTCTTTTAATGTTAATATATGAAAGTAGGAAGATTTAAATTTGAACTATATAGAATTATTGTTAATATAAACATCATCCTTAATAAATTGTAGGGAAGTTTTACAATCAAATAAATACTTAGTTTATTCAAAGTCAAACCTATTTTAGAAAAGTTTAATCCCCACCTTATTACAATCTTCAAGTAAATAATACACAATAAAATTTAATTACATTGCCTAAATTATCATAATTCCAGTTTAATATATTCTCTTTTATATATCATCGAATTTTATTTGGTAAATTTCTATTTACTGTTAATAAACTATTGTTATTAACATGGCTTATCTATTAAAATATATGTCGATTAAATTAGCAAGTAGCAGAAATTTATATATTTTTATAGCTTAATTATTTTAAAAAAATAACAACTTCATAACAGTACTCCCTTCAATTATAGCTAAAATCATTTGATCATCTTTGAACTTATGTATAAATAGAAATTTGCTAATAGAGGAGATTCCGTGTAAATTAGATAAAATCGATAATCTGTACTCCTCTACTTTTATTTATTTCGAATCATTCTCTATTATCTAATTTATTTTAAAAGGAAGAGCTCTTTAATATCTTTTATAAGGTAAGCAGATTACTTCATTACTCCTTGTAGAGGTAATCATCTGATAATACAATACTGTATTCTAAAAGTATTAAATTGGATTATTTTAATCAAATAATTTTAGATTAATCACTTTACTAGGAGATTAACTTGACTTAGTATAAATTATTAATTATTTATCAGAATTTTTATAAGATACAAAAGATTTAGGTAAGATTAATTAAATTAGCTTTAATTATTAATTTGATATTACCATAAAATAGGGTAATTCACCAATTTTAATACAGTTTTTACTGTTGATAGATATTCTATTTGAGTAATAATTTTTGAATTTAACAAATATCTTATCTGTAAAGTGAAACACATAAAAATATTTTTTAATAAAAAAAACATTTTGAAACCCTTCACTACTGAAATTCAATTATTCATAATTCAAATACAATTATTAATTGTCCAAATCTGCTTCAACCAATGTTTTCAAAGATGGTCCATTGAAAGTTTAAAATTTTTTAACTTAAAATCCTGAATTTTAACTTAAATATGTTATTTCCTTTGTTTTGATTAAAAAAAGACATATACAATCGATATATGCTATAAATAGATCACCTGAAGAGCTAAACTAAATATCAATAAGTTATGATATCTATTTAGAAAATCCATCTACCTCTAATAAATCATATTTAGTAAGATTTAAAAATAATAGATTTGATATTGAAATAGAATAAAATAGTGTAGTTTAACATAATTTATTAAATATGATTAAAGTTTGATTATTATTAAAAATTGAATCAGATTAACAATTTGATTGAATTGGAATAATAATTTGATCAAATATTTATGATTAATTAAGAATTTAAATAATAGTATTAGTTGAATTATAATTACATTAAATTATATAAATGAATTAATCTAATTTATATAATTTAATGCAATCTTATTAATTTAACAATATTTAACAATCCTTTTATTTTATTATTATTTCATCATCTTAAATGTAATTATGTATTTCATATAAACATTCAATACTACCATTCTTTAATAAAATTATATCAATATTATTATTATTATAATTATTACTATTATTATTATTATTATTATTATTATTATTATTATTATTATTAT